CATTCATTGTGTGAGTAAAACACAGTTGCAACAAACCTTGTGAATTCGTAGCAAATCAATCGCTGAATGCATAGTGTTCCTGGTTTATAACTGAAAAGACGCCATGTTGGAGAACAAAACATTAGGTCCAAAGGAGAAATTTCTTGTTGATCTGCCAACATGGCGGCAATGACGTCACATGTGCCAAGGAATTTCGGTCGCCATGTTGGAGTACACAACAATACAGACAATTATATGGTACGCCAACATGACGGCCATTATACAATCGTTCAATGAATTATTGATCGCTATCCTTCCTTCTTTCCTTCACAGGACATTGACAGGGAGACTAAGGGATGTTAAGTCCTACAACGAGTTCCAAGCAGATAACTGGCAGAAAAGTGGCTTCCAATGCACCAGCAGACACGGTACAGCAACATGCTCTCCATGTGGGCCTGGGTACTACCTAGGAGATGACTTGACGCCATACTGCAAACAATGCCCTCCAGGTATGACGTCAGCGTTACCATAGTAATAAACCATCGTCACATTGTGTTGATTGTAGACAAATTGATTGACCTAACAATGACTTACATGATTACATAGGGGGATTTTTCCAAGATCAATACGGTAGTCAAGGTCCCCGGTATACCTCGGGATGTAGACTGTGCCCGAGGGGATCGTATGTCGAGCCTAAAGATGCACCCGCCACCTCAGTGTCGTACTGCAAGCTTTGCCCAAAAGGTAAGCATTTGTTGTAAATAAACATCATTCATTTGGCTCTCATCATAAAGCAGATAAACAAGAATAACTCGTTTGTGCAATGCATGATGGTATTGAAAGGGGTTAAACCCGTCATTAGTCTTTTGACGTCATATTTTGTATATTTGTTCATTGTAATCTCAGGAACCAATACCTCTATGGTAGCTGGACATCGAGCGTGTCCATGTCGAAAAAATTACTATCGTACTGAAAGATTCGGTGCCTGTAAACCATGTCCTATTGGCCTGATATGTACTAATGACTCCTTGACTCTTGCGCCTGGGTACTTCTGGTCCTGGGACTTCCAAGGTGCGGACAGGGTCGAGTACCAGACGTTCGTAAAGAACCTGAATATCGAGGATGACACCTACAACGCGAGCATCAATACCTACACTGGTGAAATCCCTGAAGCAGTTCACTGTTCTATTAAAGGTGCATGTCTTGGTGGATTTGATCCTCAGTGTTCTAAAGGATATAGGGGACCACTGTGCAGGGCGTGTGACAACGGGTTCTCCTCACGTCAAGGTGTTTGTAAAGCATGTGCTGCAAGACCTCTCGGTATGATGTTGCTGGTAGTTGCTGCTCTCATTCTGTCTGTTATCATTTATTTTATGATGAAGACAAGTAAAGAAGATATTGAGTCAGGATGTGTGCTTATGGCCAGGTGAGCTCAATTTTAAACGGGTATAAACTCATAAATTTATAAAAAATAAATACTAGATCCAGGACGATTTTGGGTTGTTTGTATTATAGTTAATATTGATGGTATCTTCTGAAATTCTCCGATAAAGTGTGGAGAGCCAGGCGCAAATATATTCTTATATATATATTCTTTCAGGTTTAAGATCTACATTGGTTTCTATCAAATGCTGTCCGCAATATTTGAGCAAATATCGTTCTTACAACTCGCACCAGGTCTACTCGTGTTTTCAAGATTCGTTGACTTTCTCCAGGTAACTGATCAAAGCAGGGGCGGATCAAGGGGAAGGTTGCAGGGGTTGTGCATCTTCCAGATGGGCTGATATCTACTGCGTTATTGGTGATTCAGTTTGTGAACGCACTAAGCAGAAATGGTGCAGCCACTCTTAAACAAAAATACAGGGTCCGCTCCTGCAACGCTCGTTCGTTTAGTGTCCTATATCTTCTTCAACACCGGCACTTAAATAGACGTTTGTGAATGTCCTCATTATTGTGTTCTTGGGTGCATGTGACGTCTTAGCCGCAATTTTGGTTGACTTGGGCAAAAAAACTGGTTTTGGTCAACTAATATGGCGGCCACATCTTTTGTCCTTTCATTGTCGCGGAAAGGAATGCACGCCACCAAAACTGAACACATCTTAACGCACTGGGTATTTTGTCTCTTTGACTATAGCTTCGTGTCACATAGAGGTGCTTCAAGATGTTTATAGCCAATGTTGTTATATTGTTAATGGGAATAACCATGGCTCAGTGCCGGGTAAGAAATGTTCACTATCCTGTAACTTCTCCTTTCCTTTTACAGACTAACCTGGCATTTCTAGTGACGCAACCATGCCTGTATTCCAGTTACATGATTCGCGTGGGTCCCATTGGCCAGATGTTGCTAGCTCTTGCCCTTAACCTGTTCGTTGTGGTCATGGCGGTTCTGTATTTCTTTATTCGCTCCCCGGCTGTCAAATCAGAGGAAAACGATATCAAGGCTGATAGTTTGAGACAACGGTGCACCATGGTTACCTTCGTGCTGATTTATACTTTTTATCCTACTACTTGTCTGAAGGTTTGTTTACCTTGCTACTCGGACCTTTAATAATTCAGTTCTGGTAATGCTTACTCATGGGCCTTTCTGTTGTCAATTCTCGAAGCAGACGAGGCCTGAAACGTCTTTTGAGATGACAACTTTGAGATCTTATTTTATCTTCACCACTTGTCAGTACTCTAGACACCGAATCATTTTTCCTCTATCTATTGTTTTGTATCTTGTCTTATCTCGAATGTCTTGTATCAGTTGTCTCATATTGCTCGCCTTACTGTCTCATGTGGATGGTGTCATCTGGATTGTGGATTTTGGAGTGTCGTTTGTAATTTGTGTTACTGTCTCATACCTTTATCTCTAGTCATTGTCGCATGTCGATTGTCTTGTGTCGCATGTCGCTTTTTCGGAATCAGTGCCATTTATATGGCTTATCTCTTATCTTATTTTCCAGATTCTCCAGGTTTTCCCAAATGGCTGCGAGAAGGTGTGTTCAACGTCCCATCCTGTCCAAAAGTGTTGGCAGTTCCTGAACGTCGACCCAGACGTCCCATGCTATGAATACACTCACATCGTGTCCCTGGTGCTAGCTTGCCTGGCGCTTGTTTATGTCTTTGGGGTACCTGTGGTACTTGCTAACCTTATATGGAAAAGCACACGAACTAATAAGGTAACGAAAATTACACAGCTAGCCCAACATGTAAACACTTGAATATTAATCATTTCCGGTTCATTATTATTTTCAGGTTTGGGTCGAAAAACAAGAGATTCAAAGTCTGCAGAGTACGGCGTATATACGAACAAGGGCTTTTCTTCATCCGCCAAGACTACAGATTTAAAGGAAGGTTCTGGGAGGTGGTTGAGATGATTGAACGTACCCTTGTCATTGGTGGCCTGTCTGCCCTGGGCTTCAGGGAACGTGGGCTCATTGCTATGGTAACCATGGTTCTTTTTGTTTTCTTTGTGCCTGAAGTGTTGCTTGATGTCCGGCTGAAAAAGGATGAAAAATATCTGAAGGTAAAGTAAAATAAACCTATGGTACTAAATCTCAAGAATGAAATAAATATTAGCAGTAATAATACAAAAGAAAAGAAAAATCCTTTGTTTTAGCTTCCAAATTGAGATATTTCAATGCAACGAATAGTTTTTATAGCCGCCATATTGGTTGAATGTAACGAAGGAATTTGTCATGTTCATCCAACATGGCGGCCATGTCTTTCATCGATTTTTGTTGTTGGAACGTACAACCGATTGCGAAAGAGCAGCAGTCGACATTCTGCCATTTTGGATAAAGCTTTAGCTATTCAAGATATTTAATTTATATTAGGCAGGTGAATCGAACGAATTTGACTTTAGGCAACTGGTCAAGATGGCGGACATGTATAACCTGTGTACAATATATCGTTATTTCTGTCCCCAGATTGTCTGCAGGACGTGTTTACTGCTAAACATGATGTTCATACATACCTTTTACCTGAGAGTAGACAATGATCTAACCACAAGTGCCAGGGTTGCAGCTTTACTGATTATCATTATCAGTCTTGTTCCCTTTGGTCAAGTCACAGGTAGGTGGGACTGGGATTCCTGTGTCGTACCACAGGGAACCCGAGGGATTTATTATGCAATGCTTAAAAAGAACATGTACGCATGCGTTAGGAACTTTGACAAAACATAAAAATCCCTTCACCCTAAGAACTTTGTGTATAGAATACAATAAATTCTAAGTAGGTTGTGCCCAATTGTTTATGCCTTGCTTAGTTTTGATAAGGTCTGGTTACCAAGCTATCCAAGTCTGGTTGCCAAGGTAACCATCCAGGTTTGGTTGCCAAGGTAACAAGTCTTCTTTGAAACCTTATTTAGAATAGAATTGACCTGAACTCAGCCCAGGGTGGCTTCTTTTTTCTCCCTTCCAGTTCAACTTTTTCAAGCCAAAGGTAGAGCAATGATAGACACCATTATCCGTCCTGTTATTGCGGTTAAGCTCTGGGTGAAGAAATGTCTTGGACTCGTTGAAAACCAGGTACAAATTAACGATAAGCAGAAAAGTGTTTTACCGACTCCTGCCATGGAGCGGAACAGCAAGCCAGCAGATGAACAGAAGAAAAGCAACGTTACTAGCACTAAACTAGCGATAGATAAACCTTGGCTACTTACTGTGCCCAACACAGTAAAACAAATAAAAAAATAACACGACAGAGTCACCGGTGACATTAGCTAGAGACTATTGATAAGAGATAGAGAAGAGAAGAAAGTGGCATCTACAGCAGGACTGTAGTGAACTTATGCCAGGAATACGTGCGTTGTTTAGTGATATACATCAGGAACTACGTGCTCTACTCTTTGATATACCACAGTATGTCAATAACGTTCCCTAGGGAGGGGAGAGCATTAAGCTTCCTGGCTAGATTTCGCCCCCCTCCCTCTGGGGAACAACATACAGTAGACTTGTAAAGAATTAAAACTTTAACGAAGCAACAAAGCGCATTGAATTTCTACATGTATAAATTGATTATCATGATAAAAGCCCCGACAAAATACTATATATATTTATTATTATTTAGTTTTAATTCTACAAAATTCAGTGTCGATTTCAAGTTGTCGGTCAGCGGTTGCATCTAGTTGATTATTGCTTAATTTATTCTGTACGTCCGAGTGAGGACTGGGTCGGTTTTGACGTCAAACATTCCTTCATAAACCCAAGTTACTGTCAAGTTATGCAGAAAGAAAATTAAAAGAAAGAAAAAAAGAAAAGCTTAAAACGCTAAAAATGACAATCAAGCAATCACATAATGAATCGACTGGTTGGATATATGTTCTATATCTTGGTGTCTTCGTGGTCAGAGAATTTCTCTTCAAGCGGTATTTCACCGTTGGGTTCGTGGCTCAACACGTGTTCAGAGGCAGAGACCTCCTCTAGCGTGACGTACTTGTAGAAGTAGGACATGATACCGAAGATGATCATGATAACACCCATCAGACCACCGTAAAGAAACATTTCTTTCTCCTAAGGAAATAAAGAAAGCCAATCAGGTGTCACAAGCCAGTCAAGTGTCATTCAAGTATTGCAAGCCATTTAAGTGTCACAAGCCAGTCAAGTGTCATAAGCCAGTCAAGTGTTTCTCATGTCAGTTAGGTGTCAAGTCAATCAAATGTCACAAACCAGTGTGGTGTCACAAGCCATTTAAGTTTTACTCGGTCAAGTGTCACTAGCCAATCAAGTGCCGTGTGCCAACAACACGATTCAGGAGCTGCATACCGGTAATATTCAATTGTTGTAAAACATGTAACACGCGCGTCTATGAAGTTGCTATCAAGAAGTCATACGTACCACGCCCCTGACAGGTTTAGCAGAGGAAAGAATGACGACAATCAAGTCTCCAAAAGCCACTGTCAAAAGCCAAAACGACTGGAGAACGGACTTCATGGATGCAGGGGCCTGGGGGGAGATAAACATGAGGTCATTTCCGGTGCTTCCTATGCATCCTGTATACATGATTAAAGACTGACCTGCGAGTAAGCAAAGCCAAGACCGGTGACGGAGAACATGACCTCTGCTGCTGTAAGGACGATGTACTGAGGGACCTGCCACAGTCGAGACACAGATGTGCCTGGTGCGTCCTCGAAGATGTGTACATCAAACTATAAACACCATGGTATTAGATATACTGGACTGAGCGACAGGTATAGGGTGGTGATGACGTGTACACCTACCTTGCCATCCTTGGATGGACTGATGACGAGTGTGAAGGCACCAAAATTAGCCAACTTGAGTCTTTTAGAGGACTAAATAAAATACGATCAACTGATAGAATCATCCATTCATCTTATCATACCATTACTTATAATTATTACACTATCAATAATGTAATTATCATCATCGTAAAGAAATGATCAAACATTGATCATCATCATCATCATCATCATGATCACCGTCATCATCATCTACATCTTCATCACCATTACCACTATCATCGTCAGATTACCACCACCACCATCATCATCATCATCTACATCTTCATCACCATTACCACTATCATCGTCAGATTACCACCACCACCATCATCATCATCATCATCTACATCTCCATCACTATTACCACTATCATCATCAGATTACCACCACCATCATCACCATCATCACCATCATCTTATCATCACTATATTTAATCAATCCCATTCTGCAAAATTACTACTATCATCATCATCGAGATAAAAAGGAGCTACCTTGGGTTTGTATACAGTTGAAGTGTTGCCCTTGCGACCGATGAGCTCGCTGATTACATACCTAAGCAAAACGCATCAAAGACACTCATTATAAAAGCTCTTACGTAGTAATGAACAGGGTACTAGTATGCTGGTATATCGCACTCGGTCTGTTTCATGTAAAATCTGTTTTGATATGTATTTTGTTCTAAACGACGAACAAAAAAAAACAAGAAAAACTGGATACCAGGCTCAAAAAGACCAATTGCATAACCACAACAATCTTCCTACGTCGAGCGCAAACGTCAACTTAAAGCTCACAGCTACGCGCAAAGAGTAAATAACGAGAAAGAACCGGAGAAAGATGTTGACTTACTCTCCTGTAGGGATATCTTGATACTTGTCAGTCGACGAGGACATGTTCTTCAAGACTGTTGATTTTTTGTCATCGATGACATTATCAAGTTTGATGTCAACTTGTTCGGTCATCTTATCATTAGACGTGTACAGTATTCTGAAAACCAATAATTTAATATTATCCTGATTAAATCAATTAATACATGTCTGCATGACTACATGTCTGTGGCGTAATCTGCCAAATGAGTTTTGTCGTTACTTAGTGATTGTGTTACCTTCAGTAACGTGACTCAATGATTGTAACCAACTTGTTATATTGCGTTATCTTACATACCAAAGTTATCTTAACGTGACCCAATAAATTGTGTTACGAGTTAGATCGCGTTATCTTACCTGACACGACTGACAGCAGTCTCAATGTCTACTCCAGGGAGTTTCATCGTGTGCTGTAACAACAAACACAATCGATAAGTTTGTCACGCATGTGTTTGTCACGCACTAAAACGAGGTGTCGTGACATGCTATACATTACCTGTGACATGGTAGGCTCATTCTTGTCGTTGAAGCCGATTACAGCACTCACTACAGTTTGGTCTTCTAGAATCTTGGTTACTGTATCTTCAGTGATATTGCAGCTCATTGTAGTTATTCGAAAACTATTCATACCAAACTGTCCTTCATAGACTTGAGATCTCTAGAAGACGTGAATCATACGGTGAGCCAAGGTAGATAAGGTTGACAAGGAGTGTAAGAATGCATTTTCAAAGAAGGCAACAACAGCAAAAGAAGGGATTCTAAGATACCCATGTTTCCCTGACAAACCATCTATCTTTTTATGCCGTGGTGTTCGTGTTCAAGTCCTGGCTGTTGATTGGTTAATCCCGACATACATACCTCGCCATACTTGAGATCCACTCTAAAGAAGGAGGTAGGATTAATACTGACATCACATGGAATGGTGTTGATGAACTGGACGCTTGTGTGACCCGAAGATGGAATGGAAGGACCAACACCTACCGTCTAAACATGGAAGCAAAACATGGTGGACATTGTTAATAAGCTTATAGCCAGAGATTTGTAGATTGTCACCTTGTTATGACAATTTAATAAGTGTGCTACTTGATTGTGTGACCTTCGCGTGACTAGCTGCTTGATTGTGTGACCTTCGCGTGACTAGCTGCTTGACTGTGTTACTTTTGTGTGAATAACTGATGATTGTGTTACATTCGCGCGACCTGGTAAGATCGTGTAAAACTAGCGTGACTAAACACAAATACAAACTAAATACAAACCTGGATCTTGATTTGGACGAACGCACAGATGACAAAAGCCACGCCCGCAAGACCAAGACCTCCCGTCATTCGCTTCAAGGGACTGGAAACCAAACATATGACATACTGTTATTATGTCACTTCTTCGTTGCTAGGATACCAGACTATATGCAAGACTATACAAGACAATGAAACAAGACTAGACTACGATGTGGATACAGGGTGGAGAGAGAAGAAGACACTAACCTCAGGGGGAATTGACATCGTTCAAACATTGGGTAGATAACAGCATCATACAAAGGAATCAAGATCAGAACCAGGATAGGGTTGAGAGCCTGTGATCAATCCAAATATGATCATATTAGCATAGTTTAATCATTTAAATATCAAACTAGAACTACATGGTACTGACCTGAATCTGATCCGATCGTAGTGTACCAAGTGGACCCTGTGAAGAGGTGAGAGTAGGCAACGTTAGACTGTGAATAAACTATACATGAATACAATAACAAAGCAATAAAATCAAACGTACCAAATCGCCGTCCATCTGCTCTGCTTGAAGAGTCCAACTGGATCCCTGGAGAAAAAACAATATCGTTCAAAGGAGGGAAGGTTTGTAAGAGGAGACATTCTCTTGGTGGAGAGTGTGCATTGGAAGAGGTAAAGAGAATTAAGACGCAGGGAGAAGATGACGTTAACCTTGTTCCCAGGGCCCACTTAATCTCCCTCTTCCTTGGAAAGTGGACCCTGTGAACGAGGCTTGGAGGGAGGGAAGGTAACATGACGTACCTGTTGATGGAACAACGCCCAGAATACAGGTAGTGGTATATACATGACGAGAACACGCAACAACATGCGAACATCGTTGACTTCTTTTTGCTATAAAACAAGAAACAACACATTAAAGAAAGATGAACCCAAGCCTCGATCTTTGATCATGAACATCACCATCTTTACCTCATAAGTGTCCAGAGCATTGTCCAGCCAGTGAGTGGTGTTAGGAGGACCACTTCCAGATATCTTGTTTCCTAGTGCATGCTATGAAAACACAAGATATGGTTCCATGATACTATTACAAAAATGGGAGGGGGAGGGGTAAGTCCTTCTTTCCAGAAGTACTGTGGGGGAGGGGGGAAGGGAATTCTTCCTTAACAATTTGGAGTATTTGGATACGAAGTGTTTGTACTCACCCCAACTATTTTGATAACTTTGATGAACACATTCCCTGCTGGGTCTTTTAAGGTGTACATACGCTTCCCACCAATGAATGCCACTACGTGCAATAATATTAATAGACGACTGTTAGTAAATTCTCTTGATTCAAGTAGCACATATGACAGTGTTGTTGACTATATCTTCAGAAGTCGAAGGGAATCGCGAATGACATAGCTATAGGGATAGTGAACTAACCTCAAGCTCACCTCTGGGGTTCTAGGGTACGATTCACATGTGAGTAGAGTTTGTTAGGCCTCTCGCTTGATTCGAGGGCAGTTCTTACTCCATAAAACCTTACCAGCTATATTTCAATTATCTGTTAGTTATGGCCGTAGTTGGTTGAGTTTTTTTTATAATATGACATTTCCAAACCCTCTGGCTCTTTTTCCAGCAATCTGATTCACTAAGTAAAAAAAGACAGGAAAATGGCAGGAAACGACTTACAAAAAGCCACGATAATAAGAACAGTGTTGATGCCAAACACAGCGGGGTAGCAGTCCCTGCCATAACACTGTACATCAGCTAAAGAGAAAAAAGAAAGATGGCAATTGTCAGTACAGAATGTAAGACATATAGAAAGAGGTACACGGAAAACTTTTTGTTGTCAAAATGAAAACTACTACAAAAATTGATCTTCAATATATTTGAATGAAAAGTGAGTGAAGTGCCCAACAATGGGGTAAGACTAAGCCTCAGTAACCTAGCAACCATGACGTCATGCCACGCGCCACAGGGTGACCAACATGAGACAAAATAAAAATAAATCTTATAGCGGATTGTGGTACTCACTCCTGACTATCGGAATGAAGTACATGCAGAGGACAGCACCAACGTTGACGGAGGCATAAAACATAGCGAAGAACAGATCTAGAAGATGTTCCTGAAAGATTAAGGAGACAGTGAGTGGGTGTGTGGTAGTGGGAAGGAATAAGGAAGTAAGGAAGGTAGGGAGGGAAGGAAGGAATGAAGAAAGGGAAGGAGGATGACGGAGGTAGGGATGAAAGAATGAATGCAACAAGTGAAGAAGGACGGAGAGAGGGAAGGAGGACGGATGGAGTGAAGGAGGATGGTGGGAGGGAAGGAGCACGGAGAGAGGGAAGGAGGACGGAGGGAGGGAAGGAGTACGGAGAGAGGGAAGGAGGACGGAGGGAGGGAAGGAGTACGGAGAGAGGGAAGGAGGACGAAGGGAGGGAAGGAATACGGAGAGAGGGAAGGAGGACGAAGGGAGGGAAGGAATACGGAGAGAGGGAAGGAGGATGGAGGTAGGGAAGGAGGACGGATGGAGTGAAGGAGGATGGAGGGAGGGAAGGAGGATGGAGGGAGGGAAGGAGTACGGAGAGAGGGAAGGAGGACGGAGGGAGGGAGAGAGGAAGGCAGAGGGGGAGGATAGAAGGGTGTGGTAGTACAAGTATTCTTACTGTCAGAAATAGAGAACGGAACAAACCTGATCAGCGCGGAATTGATCACCACCAAACGCAGCTAAACATGGCTTGATGTTACCGCATGCAATGGCCATCAGGAACAGAGCAATCAGGGGACCAATACTACAAATGTATTTCTTTTCGTTAGTTCCTTCATCTACGAGGCTGGTATCCAGAGAGAAGATCGTGCGCACTTTAAATATCCCGGAATTTACATTTACACGAGGCGTACCCGAGTGTTTCTCTTGGCATGCGCGCGTTTTATATTGCTGTCATAAAATATTTTTGAGCGAAGTTGCGCGAGCCAATTATAAGCGCTCGTTATCCTTTAAATATTTTATAAATGATGGTATAGTACTTACGAAGATCGGTTGCCAATAGTGTCTGCACTAGTAGCGGTCAACAGCATCTCCGATAAAGAATAGACGAACAGAGTGTAGGCGATGGTCCTGGGAATAATACATTTTTTAATACATATAGATATATATTGTGCATGCAACTAATGTCAGAGTAATGATGGTTGTGATGATGTTGCTAGCCATGATGTTGTAATGATAGCATGAAGAGAATGGTAATGTTGGAAGACAGAGGTAGGAGATGGTGATGATGCGGGTCGTGATGATGATGATAATGGTAATTGATTCTGATAGTAATTGTCATGATTATGTCGTGGTATTGATAGAATGAAGAGAACGGTAATGTTGGAAGACAGTGGTAAAAGATGGTGATGATGAAGATGAGGACCATGATGTTCAAGGTTAATCCAAAGTTCATTTCATGTCCTTCAACCCTTACCTGTATTTACCAAGAAAGCTGTCAGCGATCATGGCGCCAATCACCCCAGTGAAGTAGCTTGTCATACTAAAGGCATGGTAGATGGTCTTCCCATCGGCCTTGTTGAACATCAGATCTTTGGTTAGGTACAGCACAAGCACAGCTGCAGAAAAAGCGGAACATTTTAAAGTTTTCCTTAGTCTGCTTTCTCCAGGGAATGAAGGGTGGTGTGTGGTGTAGCAGTAATACACTCACCCCTCACCTCTGGGTGTCTCAGGTTTATTTCCGGACTCGCCATCAAATGTGAGTAGAGTTAATTGTAGATCTCTTCCCTGATTCAGTTTTTTGAGGGGGGGGGGGGGGGTNGGGGGGGGGGGGGGGGTTCTTTGGTTCCCCGCTCCATCCACAAGACCTAACATAATGAATTTCAGCGCAATCAATTCGATACGCGAGTTCGCCGTGTCCTGACTTAGATCAGCTCAGATGTTATTCAGGATTAGATCTGTGAGTTAGCCATGCCCTGACTTAGATCAGCCCAGAGGTTGTTTCAGGGTTCTATCTGTGAGTTAGCCATGCCCTGACTTAGATCAGCCCAGAGATTGTTTTAGGGTTCGATAAGTGAGTTTGCCATGCCCTGACTTAGATCAGCCCAGAGGTTGTTTCAGCCGGGTTCGATAAGTGAGTTTGCCATGCCCTGACTTACATCAGCCCTGAGGTCGTTTCTGGGTATCAGTAAAATTTGAAGATTTTATAAAATAATTTCATGAGTCGGAAAGGAAACCATTTTCATGCGAGAGTGCCTGAAAATGAGCCACTTACTTTTGATGCCATAATATGAGAAACGTTCTCCAAACTCGGTAACCAAAATAGGCCATGTTGCTCTTGGGAACTGCGTAAACCACGACTAAATACACGGGAAAATACGCCGTTAGTTTTGAACTATCATCATCAGGGCCCGCGGAGGCTTAGCCTAAACGGAGGTCCACCAAATTGGCACTTTGTTTTTGCGCAAGTTTAATGCATCCAGATTACCCCACCCCTGATATTTTGTATTTTGTATAAAGCTTCATACCTTGGTTCTGGCGCAACAGTTGCCTGTCTTTAGTTGATCTTCTTCAGCTATAAAACCAATGTCATTCAGCAAAATGATGATAATGAATAAAATAAACCAATTATTGAATTCGTTTACTCAGAAACTCCGGGTCAAAAGGACCGGTGAACTCTATAGAAACCGCCAAGCCTGGCCAAGCTGAGAGTATCCGGTCATCGATCTACTCAGTATTATAAACCTCATCCAGAACTTCTAACTTTGGACTTGACTGAGCGCCAACTTATTGATGTTTTAAAAACATCTTCAATTGTTGACGAAAAGCTTGAGCTTACGATCAAAATTGACAATATGTCTAGATATTTCAGCTGTAATCTTAGCCATAGTTCTGATCCTAAACCCATGATGTTAACCTTTGGTGACCTCTCGTTCTTAGTTACTGAATTACGATACTAAGATTATAGTAAATACCTTGGAACCCCGTTGTACTAGTTACAAGACGATCTTGTGATTGATCCGCCTGGTACAAACTAGTAGCGCGCACAACAGCGCGTATGCTATATTACTATTTCATACTGCTACCTTATCATTCATTCTGGGGTTTGATATCAATGAGTTAAAAAACTTTAATACCGCGTGACTCGTACTATTTACGGTACTCGTGAAAATTTGATTAGGATGTTAAGAACGATGATAAGAATTACAAACAATAAACTAGTAAAACCTTCTACAACCTTATTCGTTATTATACTGTATTGTGAGTTGGTAATACTATTTGCTTCTATCCCGTACCATACTCTAATATCAAGACAAATAACAGAGGCTTAACTACGCATACCACTGTAGCGACGCCTAAAGCCGGCAATCTGTCTTCGACTTATTGCTATGACATCAATGAAAATCACTATCTAAGGATCAGAAAAGAGTTCACCTACTTGCTGGCTCGTATTTGATTTTACTCTCCGTTCTATCTCGGGCAGCCATTTTCAGTCTTCTAGTGTTTTAGTTTGTTTAGTGAAGTACGGTACACGCCGCACACGCAGTTGGGAACTAAGCGCAATGTGTCATTACATCGAGTCTGGTTACAAATTCCATTTTTCTGGTGTTTGTCATCAATTGACGTTCAACAAAAGACTAATTGTAGAAATGAGCCAATAGGACGTCAGACAAAGCTCTCAGACGCAACATTGACTTTTGGTCCCCCTCGCTACAGCAACAAGACTAGCGTGGAAAATGAGCACGGCAGTAGATCGATATCAGTTTTACGCTATAATATGTTGCATTATTTTTGAAATAGAATAGAAAAATCGAAGGAAAAAAAAGGTTCGAATAACCACGATTTAAAAAAAAAGGCATCTTGGTTTGCAATCAATCAATCACTGCCTTCCTGTTTCGTCGCACATCCGGCCCAAGTTGCGCATATTAATTACCTCTGATACCCATCATTATAGTCTCAAACAACATTCAAAATACCATAAATAAAACAGATATAGGAGTTCAAGGAACATTAACCTCTGGTTTAAACTCAGTTTCAGCGAAAGCGTTTGATCAGAGTGATAACTTGAGTCGTGAGGTGCTTTGCCCGCCAGTGAATATGCTCTAGCGCACGTTTTAGCGTGTGTTTGTTTCAGTGTGTTCTAGCAGTCTAGCTGCTCGTTTGACTTACAGTTCCTTGTATTAGTCAGATAGTTTACTGATCCAGTAAGATCTTCGTCCATATCTCTTTTTTTGGAACCCATTTAACTTTTTTTTCTGTTTTATGACGAAGAGATTTCTATTGTTGAACAAGAAAGAACCAAAACCATCTTTGATTGTATAATCAGTCGTTTATACATGAGTGGACAATGATTGGTTCCTGTAAAAGAACTGTCGTTGTTCTAATGTTTACATAAAACATGTGCCATCGACAATCCAATCACTGACTTCTGGTTACCATGCTGACGTCCCTGCAATTTGTTTTTGCTCCCGTTGTTCGGACAAATGTTACGAAATATTATGTAGATAACTCGGTTAACCAGAACTACAAGTCTATTATTGAATAGGACCATTATTTCATTTAGCTTTTTTCATTTATTAACATTTAAATCTCTTTCATTCTAATATTAGGCCTGAAATTGAGAGAAAAATCTATTCTTGCTACAAGAGGATTGGGAGTTTATACCCGAAAATCGATGAATTAGAACAAGACTGTCCGACTTATCTCATAAACCAATTTCACAGTAATAATCTAATCCAATAAACAATATGACTGTTCTAGGCTCAATCAGTTTTGATTTCGGAGAAAGGCTAAGGTCTAAGAGGGGAGGGGAGGAGAGGAGGAAGTATTAGATCTCCTTCCCAGTTTCTCTCTTTCATCCTACCCGTTCTTTCTCCGGACTCAAAACATTCGCAAAAAGCATCACATAGCCAAAGAATTAGGAATTGTTCGAATAGTTATCAATATTTTGTAATTTTAACCCATAAATGCGATCCAATGTTTGATAAAGTACGAGGTCATGTAGCAGCAGTGTCTACCCGTTTATCATCATATTCTCGTATTAATCCTTTGATATAAGTTAGTTTACAGTGGAGATCCTTGACTCGTTTCTTGTCGCTTTCCCACGTGGGGTCCTAAAAACAAACCACAAACATACTCAATAGAGAGTAAACCAAATTCCGTGAAATACCACAAAAACATAATAGCACTAAACACATCTACATCATTTGTTTTCAATTGTTTCATTGCTGCTATTTTGTACTAATTAGTTAGTACTATTTCATGCCTGATATATGGTTTGCACCCTACCACACACGAGTACAGCAGCAGACAACAGGTGTGATATCACATAATGATATGACGTAATGATAATACAATCATACACTAACCTGTAGTTGTTTTTGATAAAGCTCTAAGACTTGCTTCTCGATTATCTGAAATGATTTATTAACGTGCTTGTAAGTAAAGAAAATAACAGAGAAAAAGAATCATGAATCCTGACCACAATTTCGGAAAAGAAAAAGGATGTTTCCTTCCAGCTTCCATACACACCTCTCTTTCTTCACTTTGTTCGGGACATTTCTTCAGGTTTTCCTTAAGTTCTTTGAACTTTTTGGCTACTGAGCTGATCTGGTTCTGTAGCCTTTGATATTCGTGATATTCAACTTGGAAGTCTCTTTTATACGAGCACCTTTGTTCATTATTGGTTATAGGACGATATTTCCTTTGTAAAATAAGAAAAAAACATCTGCAGTGAATAAAATGACACCTTGAAACTAGAAGAAAAGGAACAAGGTGAAAATATTTACTTACTTTTTATAGTCAGTCTGACATTCTTCAGAGTCATTTTCAGACATGAGTAAAAGTTTGACTGTTGAGTTTGCAAATATTTGGTTAAAAAAATACAATATGTTGCAGCACACTTGCTTCTTAAAATAAGTGTGCAAGGTTTACTGAAGATCAAACTATGGACCTCTTGCTTAGCAGGCAGCACACTAACCAACCAAGCCACACTTTCTCCTTAAAACAAGTGCGTGAGGTCACTGAGGATCAAACTATAGACCTCTTGTTTAGCAGGCAGCACACTAACCAACCAAGCCACACTTGCTCCTTAAAACAAGTGTGTGAGGTCACTGAGGATCAAACTATGGACCTCTTGCTTAGCAGGCAGCACACTAACCAACCAAGCCACACTTGCTCCTTAAAACAAGTGTTTGAGGTCACTGAGGATCAAACTATGGACCTCTTGTTTAGCAGGCAGCACACTAACCAACCAAGCCACACTTGCTCCTTAAAACAAGTGTGTGAGGTCACTGAGGATCAAACTATGGACCTCTTGCTTAGCAGGCAGCACACTAACCAACCAAGCCACACATGCTCCTTAAAACAAGTGTGTGAGGTCTACTGAAGATCAAACTATGGACCTCTTGTTTAGCAGGCAGCACACTAACCAATCAAGCCACACTTGCTCCTTAAAACAAGTGTGTGAGGTCACTGAGGATCAAACTATGGACCTCTTGTTTTGCAGGCAGCACACTAACCAATCAAGCCACAAGTGTGGAAAAGGTCATGTCAAGAGAATATCAACTAGTTCATATTCTCTTGGTCATGTACCATACAATAAAGTACCTGAAGATGAAGCATCTTTATTCTGTTGTTCACTCTTCTGTTCTAAAGGCTTGTTCCGAGAGGAATTTTGCTTGGATAAACTTATTGGTTTGTCTGTATCTTGAGCATGTTTTGCAACATTGTTATTGGAAACCACGTGAGATATCCGCTGCTTCTTAAGGGCAGGGTTACCATACTCAGTTGATTCAGACTGTCTCTTGTTACTCTGGATGAAGAAAAAATGACAGCATCAATGACTTCAAATCCTTCAAGTTTTGTCGATACCTTGAAACAACCTCTGGGCTGATCTAAGTCAGCACACAGCAAACTCACAGATTGAACCCTGAAACAACCTCTTGGCTAATCAAAGTCGGGGTACAGCTCTCTCAACTCTGACATTTTTCAAATTTCCATTTTGCTTGGTAGGTTATGCAGGGGGAAAAAGCTGGAGAACCAAGAGAAAAACTCTTGAATCAAGGGAGAGGCCTAATAAACATTACTCACATGCGATGCCCAGTCAAAAAGACACCCCCTTGGTATATGAATATACATGTCTTGACAATGGGGTCTTGTGTTAGTGGGGTTGTGTATGAGAGAGGTCTTATGTGGTTGTCAAGTTTTGTGGCAGGAGGTAAATTATGAGTGATGAGTTGTTGTGTGACGGATAGACTTACTGTGATAGAGGGTGTTGTGTGACATGCATTTGAGTTGTGCCTATGAATGTTAACTTACTTCTTTGGTTTTTACTTCATTTGATTCACTTTTCTGTAATGATTGCTCTTTGTCGGGCTTAGCATTTAATGAACTGTATATAAAAAAGACAAAAAATTCAAAAAATATATTTTGAAAAGAAAAATATTAAACATTTATTGCTGTGTTTGTTACATTTCTTACCTTTGTACAATTTTCCTTTCTATTTCACTATATGGCCAAGTATCAACCTATATCAAATAACAAGTTGCTTCAGTCAATAGATTGTCATTTCATCAACTGAATGCAAGAAATGCTAAGCAGGGAAAAGGCATAAGATTCGCAAAAGGTGTAGCCGAGGGCAGCTCTAGCTTCTTGAGTAGTTAAGCAATCTCCCAAGTCCATCCAGAACTGTATATACACACAACTAAGCATTGACCATTGCTTTTATAGCATAGCAAAACCGTAAAAAATATTTGTTCATCAAAAAAATTCAAATTTTGTTTTAACGAAATCCTCATTACATAGCACAGCGTGCCAGTGTGCACCATCTATTCCTGGATGCACGCTCGCCCACGCTAATTAACCAATCAGAGCATGCGTTATATCGTGGCTATGTCATAAAATCAACTGTTTGATTATTATCAAGTAATAACTCAGAAGAAAATGCAAGCATAATTTTATTTATTTATTTTTGTATTTACCTTAATTTCAGGATGTACTTTCTTTAGCAGGGTATATTGATTGTTATTGACTGATGTCACCTTGAATAAAAACAATGATGTTGATCAGTAAAGAGACTGCAGTCCACTTTTAACTATATGCAGAAGAAAAATGCAGAAAACATTGGGTTTTGAAGTCATCAGACCCATGGCAAAACCATACACCAAAAGTCCTGGCATGCAATGGTAATGAACTGAGTACTTTTCATAAAGGCTAATTTAAATAGTAGATATCTACATCTATTTTATTTCTTCATAACACGTTGCAGTGAATAAATATAGTTAAAATAGATAAGATATATTTAAAAAACAAAAAATTATATTATATAAGAATAGCTGTGGTACTATATATAAATGAGTACCTGTTTTAGTATATTTGTTAATGCATTCTTGTCTTTTAAAGTAACTCCATCTACAAAATAAAGATCATTTAGTAATAAACTTCATGAAAGTCACTCTTATCTAATAGCTCAGCACAAGTGCTTATTATTCAACCAGGGACATGTAATACATATCACACATATAGTATATAGCCACACAAATGATACTAAATAGACTTATATAAACTTAAACTTATATTTTACAACCACCACTCTCCATAAGGGGCTCTTCCGTGAGGTTCCCTTGACGCGCACTACCATTACGTCCACTAATAGGTGGATGTAATGGTAATAAATATTGCCATTGTGATGTTATATATCAATCATTTGAGCAATAGGTTTTATCACTTTGCTCCATTGGATTATCCAATAAATTTTGGGTTGGCAATTTAAATAACAATCAATGCAACTAAAACAAATTTTCTCATTGTACACCCACCTATACAAAAAAGTATACATATAGGTAAAGTTAATATATGACCTGCACCTTTTTTAAGCCTGGTTATTAACTCTATCTTTTTGAAAGGTTTTACAGCCAAAAGATGAATTACTCTTTCCCTAAGAATAGAGACAAACATAATTAGCAATATAGAAAGCTGGTTTAGAAAGATTGGTGGTGTACACTAGATGAGATGACAGATAAATGGATGGATGGGTGGATGG